GTGTGTAGCAAAGCAGGTTTTTTTTTTCATGCATTAGTAAAATATGACCTTTTTGTACTTGATAATCTTAAAGAGTGATGATAATGGATAGTTCATCTTTAATGGACTCTTTCTGTTGTTGGAATGGCAAGTATTGTCAGTGTATATTTAAGTAAACTATATATAAAAATGATTGAAATAGCATTAGACGAACATTTCCACCTATGTTTTGTGCCACCATACAAATGGGAAGTGTTAACGAGCTTTGAAGGTGCTAATATATGGATATTGTCAACATTGTTATAAAATGATTAAAGGATTTATTTTTAATTCCTCGGTGTGTGCAAAAATATATAGATACATGGTAACAACTCAAAGCAAAAACACAAAAGGATCCAATGGAAAATGATCAGACACAGGAAAAAGGTGACTGTGTTTTGCCCTAGTTATGCCGTTCACACACTTGCACCTATCAGCTCCCACTTTCTTGTAGCTCATTTATATGCAGTGTTTCTTCCTTCACACATATCTCCTACCCTTTCAAACTCAGTCAGTATGTCTTACAGGAAAAAGGGTTGTGTGTCTCATTCAATGATAATCATTGATAAATTGGAAGAACCTGGAATCTAACTCCTGACCTTACAGATGGAGACAACCTACTTTACATCCTAAGCCACAAACACGTGCATTATGTCGCAGTGACCCTTAAAAAATCAGAATCAGAAAATGCAGACAGCATGATTTTCACACAGTTCAACTCTGAACAAGGTTATTTTAATGCAGGAGAGAAGAAGAGTGTTTTCCTCTGGGTAATAACAAAAAGACGGCTGTGGTTTGAAGACTAAAGTAACCTTTCAACATTTCACACTTGTTTCTTGTTTCCACAGAGACGATAACTTTGAACTTTCACAATCATATTTGCACACAGACTTGTTAAACTGCCCCCAGTGGAGACTTTGGCATTGTCAACCTTTGATTTACTAATTATAATGAATGTAAACAATCGCATTGATTAGTACTGTCATCGTTTATCCCAGTATGTCTGCCAAGAGGGAGATAAATGTTTAAAGGTCGCAGTTCACAGAGTCAGGCTTGTCAGACATGAACAATGAGCTCCCTCTGCTGGTGAATGAGAGGTAGTTGGAAAATGTTCTAACTTTCTTTCATTTCTTCTGAGGTTCCTCAAATATGTGGCAGAGCGACATCACAATCTGATTTCAAGACAAGGTATAAAGGGAGCATCCACCAAATCTTGCCTTTGCCACTAAAGTTTGGTTGTGGGTTAACTTGTGAGTCCTCTTGAAAAGTAAAAAAAAACCAAGCAATTGTGACAACAACAACAATCTATATACCCGTGATGCAGAGGCTAGCTGCATATTGTATTTTAAGAGAAATGAAGGCTCTAATGAGGACAAGAAATAACTCAGCAGAATGGCTGACTATTTCACCAAGATGCACCTTGTGTATCAATAGGATCAAATTCGACAAGGACAATTACAGACAGTTGAACAGCTCGTGATTTTCCCTTAGGCCAATACATTTAGAGATTGAAAATAATTTGCCTAATAGCAGATTTAGTTTGTATAATACATTTACATCATATAAAGTGTATTTTCATGTTTATAAACCGGTCTTCATCTGGCCAGAAAGTCAGTGATACACAATGTGGTGTAGTGCACCACAGCTTTGACAAATGCTTTGTTACATGTGGTGTGTCACTGATAAATACACGGTGTAATGTAATATGTGTACAGTGCAAAGTGCTGAGTGTGTTGAGCAGCAGCTTCCGCTGTGTGCGCTGTCCAGCACCGGGGTGCTGAAAAGCAGCAGCTCAGGCCTGTGGACCTCAGGCCTCTCACATCCCAACATAACAACATCACATTTAACACTGTGCCAATACAAACCGCTGCACTAGTCACGGATCAACCAGGAAACGCGCGGTTTGACGTCAACGCCAACACGGGGCCTTCTGTCTGACACCACCTGCTCAAATCTCGGTTTCACGGACACTCACGACCGAAGAAAGTCATTCTACGCCGCTTTCAGTCACAGGCCAGTCGCGATAAACAGACTCCCGTGGGTGTATTTGACATAAACTGCCCCATCCCCCGCCATAATCTGCCCCCGTTGTTCCCCCACAAGAAAACAGCCCAGAGCAGGATTCAGGTGATGGCTCTGTACCTTTTGTAGTCGGAGGAGAAAATCCCTCCGCTCGCAGGGTCGTGTCCGTATTCGGGCTCTCCGACACTGGACGAACCTCCCTTGTCATCGTTGAAAGCAGAGCTGGAGGACATGGCTGTGTTTTTATTATCGTTTTACCCCGTCCTCACAGAAGAACGTTACGGATTTAATGCAGGACACTCGGTGCAGCGGAGGATGCTGGGTGACCGAGGAGGAGGGGGTGGGTGATGACGCTGCAGTCACGTGACTGCTCCTGTAGTTCCTAGTTGTAGTACATATTGGACTGCATGAAATGCGCAATGGGGCATTTAGAACCATATTATCAATATCAAAAATCAAGAAATATGTGACGTCTAAATTTTCGATTTGACTATATTGCTGAAGACCATTGTATTTATTTATTCAGCTAAAAATAAATGAACACTTTATATAGGCAGTACCCTGATCGTCAAGGAGACGTCTTTTTTGTCTTGACGCTATTTTAAAATAAAATCATTTAAAACGATGTTCTTCCATTCTATCAGTTACTTTTTAGAGACAGCTCCTGCTGCTGCAAAACTGTGACTAAATCACTTGTTGCCTCTAGGGGGCCTCAGTGTTTCAGCAGTGCATGCTAGACCGTACACAGTACAGTAGCAGGTCCTTTTTTTTACAGAGAAAGAAGAGAGACTCCTGCAGGTTCCAGTAAACTGTACCATCGAGACCAGATGATGAGTTATATCTGTTTATTTTTTGTACTGGAGCAGGTCAATATCCTCAGTAACCATCAGCCCAGTAACACTGCAGAGAGACTGCTGAAGAATGCGTCAGTTAACACAGTCACTCTGACTGACAGAGCTTTCTTTCATTCCACCCGAGGCTCAGACAAATTCCATTACGCTGCTCAGACCTGCAGGAATGTCCATCAATGACACAGTCAAGTTGGACAGTTTGGAAGACATGTCTCTCCGTATATTGAGATTTCTGAAGTGTTTTTAAAAGACATGTTATGTACTATTTTTAGTTAACTATACAGTTGTATCTGTCTTGTAAACAATACTTGACAAGGTCCAAAGTCCAAGGGGGTAAAATATAGATGACTAACAGATACAAATGTGTGAAAATGGGAGAAATAATTATTTTAAAATGGAATTTAAAATGAAAATAGTTGTTTCATGTTTTGGAAAATTGTACAATCTTAATTCATGTTTTTTTCCCCCCAAATCCTGCTTTCCGTGTCATGAGGAAAACACTATTATGGCAGGATTCTGACTGGACAAGACAAAAAACGAGAGAAACAGATTTTAGAAACTGAATCAAAGTCTCACCTAATAAAATATTTATTTTGCCTCTTTTAACCAGCTGTCAGCAGATGGTGGGACAGATGGTGCAGCAGTGGACTGAGCAACGGTCCCTGTGAAAAATATTATTTTCAAAAAACAAGTACAACATTTGTAATGAACCATATTTAAACAATGTAAAGAAGAAGGTTGTGACCTGGGGTCAAAGACATTTACTGGAGCTGCACACAGAAGAAATCCTCTGACATATTGCAGTAGCATTCAGACTCAGATGTAGAATATGTAGTGGAATTACTTTATTTTTTTTCAAAAAAAAAAATCAAATTTTCCCTTTGTATTTGATAAACACAAAAACATGTTTGACCATCTAACATCTATCTTTATAGCATGAACATTTTTTCCACTGCTTTAAGTAGCAATTTTACAGTGATCAGGTGGTGTGACACTTTGCGTGACTCCCAAACATTCCTGCATTTTTCATTGCAAACATTTTCAAGAAATAAACAATATAAAATAAAAAAATAACATTTAAAAAAATTGCTATACTTAATTTTATACTAGTAATAAGTTTATTTCCTTTTTCAAACCTGTGACCAATAAATGTATAGCCCACTGTTGGGCCTAAACCCACCATTTGAGAGACATTGGTTAAAATCCCGTCCGACACAATAACAAAACGAAATTAGTGAAAATACAAAGCAATCTAAGAAATATCATCTCAGAGACGATGTTTAAAATGCTTTAATCTGTTTCTTCACTTGTATCAGTTGTTGTTTAACTTTGACATTCATGACTCATAAGTGGCCAAACAAGTCTGCTGTCAGAGCCACACACTGTGACTAACCTCATGTTGTCAATGAGTAAGAGGTGGAACTGCTGAGTGTGTATTATCCCCATGCTTTCAAACCAGCCATAGTAAATCAAACAAGAGAGATGATGCAGCAGATGAGTGTTTTATTTTTACCCTGCTATGATCAGTGTCCTGCAGGTCCCACTTCCTCATGTGTGTTTTCATGGGTCAGCTCCTGTGTCAGCTCAAATTAAAACACACTGAACAGGGAAACGACAGGGAAAAGGAAAATATAAATCCCATGATGAAAGGCCTCAGACGGAGCATGTGACTTTGGTTCAGATCCACACTTGGAGCGTCATGTTTATGTGGGATGTGAATGTTGAAATAAAAACAGGAAAGACTGAAAATAAATTGTTTAGTTGAAGCATTTTTAGAACAATGTGATAATTTGTCCTCCTAATATTTCCTCATATTGACAAGGTTGGAGTTGTGTTTCAAGTACTGAGGCTCTGAGAGGATGTGAGCAGCGTTTTGCTTTACGTGTCTGGGTTTACATCCGTTTTTACATTCAGTGAAATGTTTTAGTTTTACTTGAGGTTTTTAAGCAATGGGAAGTGAACCTGAATTTAGTGACTGTGATCACTGTCAATTGAACATTTCACTGTAAAGTACAGTTTACCATTAGGTTTTTTTTATACTACACTTTTTGTTTTTAATGCAATTTTTTTGGGTAACATGCCAACAAAAATCACAAAAAAAGTGTTCAAAACAAATCAATAATTCCATATACCTTAAATTCTCAATTTGAATTTATTAACGAATGAATTATTTTGTATCAGTGAAAAGTCATGCTCAGAACTTTTCCAACTGTAACACTGTGTGTTTACTGTGTCCACACACGCCCAGGAATGCTGCCACATGTAAAACACCTCAGGACACTTCTTTATTTTACCGTGAAATAAACCGTGGGTTTATGTTGTGGTCACACCGTTCTTGAAATAGAAAAATTAACTAGAGTTTGATCAACATGGGGAAAAAACACCTCGGTTTACTTTTTTTTTTTCACGTGAACATAAGAAACCCATGTGACGGATAGTTCACAGCCGCTGTTTGTGTTCCTGAACGCGTCTCACGCTTTGCCCAATTAGTTCGTAGGTTGGAGTATAGGGAAGGAGTGGGAGGGAACCTAACTCTGAGCCAGCACACCGAGTCTCTGAGTGATCGTGTGCTTTGGTTCATTTGAAAACTGAAAACCTCATCCGTGGCTCTCAGTGTCTGACTGTTTCTTCTGTCAGATTGTGTTGAATGAAGGATTCCCGATGATCGAAGTGTCCATACCGTCGATGGAGAAGGAAGTGGATGAGTCGGGAAAGTCGAAAAAGGTGAGGACGCTGTTGCATCTGACCAGGATACAGTTTAAAACTTTAATAACAGCGCTGTATTACCATGCAATAACACTTTGCTTGCCGAATAATCGACAATCGCGAGCCACTGTTTGTCGTACAGTGTTGCTTTGTTTGTTTGATAGTGGAGGTGAGTCGCGTCTCAGGTGAATCTGTGGTTCATACCTGGCTGCATTGAAAGTGACGTCAGCAGAACCGCACTGATTGTTATTCTGATGTTACAGGAGAAACCACAGTCCTGTAAGCTTAAGGAAACTTTCAATCGATTAACCGATCGTTATATTTACAATGATGCAAATCTATGTTTTGTTTTGATTCATAAAATAAAGCGAGACGAATGAGGATGATTGCCGTCGCCAGGAGGCAGCATTTGACTAAATGAAGTAGTCGAATTACTAAATAGATCAGTAACTGCATTAACAGACATTCTGAGATGAAATTCTAGTGTCTTAGACAATAATATGACTCTCAATATGCCCAAAATGAATGAGATAACTTTGTTTAAAACCTGACTTTTGTTTTTGTTCTTAAGAGTAATCGTTTTCCTTTGCTTCATGTATTACTTATTACATATTTAAGCTCATTGAACTGTGCTGCCACCTCAGCCATGAATAATTCTTCTGTGTGTTGTCTTTTCAGCTTTTCCGAGTCGAAGTCTTGTTTAATGAGAGGAAACATTTTGTCCTCAGAAGAAGTAGTGAGTTCCACACACTGCACAGAAAAGTAAGTGAACCCAAACATAATCACAGATAAATATATGTGCAATGATTTTCTTCAGCTTTTTCATCATTATTACATTTAACGTTTAACGAGTTTGAAACCGATTTAAAATACTGACGTAAGTTTATGTCTCATGGTTAAATGCCCCTTGCTAGCTTATGCATATACTCAGTACTTTTGTTGTATGTAGTGAGAAAATACTACTTTTTGTATTAATTTTAAAAATTATACTGTAAATTCTGGAGAGAAATTTTATAGAGATTGTTTAGTTTATGTGAATGCATCATTCATTCTATAGACGCCACACCCATGCTTGGGTCAATAAGACATTCTGCTACTGTGTTTGTCTCATGTAAACAGTAACGGTTGAAGGATATCCGTGCTAAAATCTGCTGATGTAACCCAGAGTTTTTATCTGAGATCTTGTATTAACATGGGAAGCTTGAATTCTGACTCATTTACATATTTTCATTTGAATGAATGTTGGTGTATTTTCTCTGACCTGAGATACGACTGTTGGTGTTCTCTAATGTACAGCTCAGGAAGATCATTCAGACTCCTGATTTTCCCAGTAAAAGAAATCCTCATCTAAGGACCAAACCACTGGAGCAGAGGATGCAGGAGTTAGAAGACTACATCCAGGTAAAACGCCTACCACTCGTTGGGATATTTCTGAATTCCCCTCACAGTTAAATAATTGTGACATCACAGCAATGTCTGAGATCATTTGTTTTCACGTCTCTGTTTGGTTATGACTAAAAGTGATGACAAAATTGTTATATTTAATTTGCAAACTCAAACAATAGTATAAAAAAAGTAAAGAGGAAAGTCAATAGTAATAAGATGATAGGGCTTTTTTATCAGAGGACCCAGGTTCAAATCCCACCAAATTCCCAGCTTCTTGGTCCTTGTGAAAGCAATCCCTGCTCCCCAGGAACAGGCTGATGGGTTAAATTTCATGGGCTAAATGTGTATATGTACAATGACAATAAGTCGGATTTTTTCTCCTTCTTCATTGTGTTTGTTAATGTCATAATATCAAGAATAAGTCAAATATAATTTTAAATACTGTTAATTTAGCCTTTGTTGTTAGATTTGACACTAGAATGAAAAGTCTAAACAGACAACAGTTTCATTAGTGACATGACAGGGTCTGATTTTAATTTACATACATGTCTCTCTGTTAACCAGGACATCATCTATCAAAATGAAGATGTTCCACAGGTTCTGCTGGACTTTCTCCATCTGAGACACTTTCACACAGGAAACAAGATGAGCAGCATGGAGTAAGTAAAAAGAATAGATTTTCAATAGTAGCCAGACATGTTTTATCTTTATATATATGAGAGAGTGTAATGGTTGATATAAATGCGCTGTTTTAATTCTTAGGTCACTGGACGATCTGGACAGTCAGGATGACAAGTAAGACTTTACATTACAGATATTGTGTGACTGATATATATTTATGATAGAATTGACACTGTTAATGGACAATTTATTTTATATGTCAATAATAACAACATTAAAACCAACCAAATATTGAACGGTATTAATATATGAGAATTTACTGTGGTTGATTAATTTCACAGTTTGACCTGTCGTTGGGTAATCCTAGTTTGATCCCTTTTGTTTATGTTGCTGTCAGAACCTTTTTAGACGGTCCCTTAATTCACAGCTCTAATAAAATCTTTGTTGTCTCCATAGTTACACATTCCCTCATCAACGAGTGTTGGGTTATTTTCATGATCCTTATCTCTCTGAATACACATCAGGTAGGAAGGACACTCCCGCTTCCAGACAACATTTTAAATCCGAGTATGTTCTCACATAATTGAGCAGTCATTAACATTTACTGAATAATTACCACAGTATGGATTTAAATATGTTGTTCCGAGAGAATTAATCTGGACATCTGTCTTGTAGATCTTCCAGACATTGTTGTGGATGGAGTTCTCCAAGGTTTTTACCCTCGGGATGTCCGGGTCACTTTCACTTCCCCTACCATCACTGAGCCCGACCCCACTACAGCTGCACTGCAGTGAAATATAGGCCAAGTTAAAATAACAAAATAGTTTTATACAAAATACCAGCAGGAAAGAGGAATACATAAGCCATTATCTCTACAAGTAGCACAATAGACGACAATGATATTTGATACATGGTTTCAGCGGGACTGAAATGTATCATCAGTCTCTATTGTAGTGAAACTCTGTGTCAGTGTTGTCTCAGCCGTGAGAGCCAACTTCCAACTGAAACTGTCCGTTTTGAAGAAGTAGACAAGCTCATAGTGTGCAGCGAGATTAGATGATTTAATTTGTATTTGTATTTTCTCATATTTTGTTATATTTTTATGCAGCCATAAGAAAACGGGGACTAACTAAGAAGAAATAGTTGTTATTATTATTATTATTAGTGTGTTTTTAGAGTTGGGATTTAATGTCATTGTTTTCTAAATATTATTGTATTGGTTTTTTAGTTGTATTAAAACTTCAAACTTGTGTTTCGATGACAAACATCTGCTGTTAAATATGTAAGTCACAAGCAAAGGGCAGAGGTATATAATATATATATTTATTTTTTTCTACGTTTCTTATTGTAATGACACTACTATAAACATACAAAACTCAATAATATAATCACAGCTTTTAGTGTTTGGTAAAATGTAAACAGTTTTTTGTTTCATAATTTAAAGAACTTGAATTTGGACATTCCACTTCATTCCACTGCTTTACTATTAAGTTATTGTGATCATTTTTTCCCCAAATAACTTATTTTCAGAGGTCTTACATTTACTCCAGCTTAACTTAATTCACCAATATATACACTACAATACCTAATTCTAATACCAGACATAAATTGCCCAATGGAACGGTTAATAAGGGAATTAAATAATAATGATAATAATAATAAAAACGGCAAAGCCTTACTGTATTTTGCAATGAAAAGCTGGCAAGAAGGCATTTTTAGTCAATTTGCATTCATTTTAAAATAAAAATAAAAAAGTAAATAAATGTTAAAATTAAGATAAATGTTAAAAACATCTTAAAATGATTTTACTAACTGCATTGATGTAGAAAATTGCACAGTAATTTGGGAAAGGGAGAAAGTCCATGGTTTGTAAGCAGTGATTCTTTTAGCCGAGGGTGGCAGCAGTGTCCCAAACTCTGGCTAAATTGTCGTAAAAAAGGAAATAGAAAAAGTCGAGGCGCGTATCTCAAGAACCCATAATTTTGTACTTTTTAACAGCTACATGTGGTCAGATGTTAGCATTAAGTACAACGTGAGTGTGTGCGAGAGCTGTAGTGACTGTGTTTGCTTGTGTCGCTGCCTTAATGACTCAGTCGGTTGTTGTTCAGGGTGAGTAAAACACAACAACGCTCATTCAAACGGACGTTAGCTTAGCTCATTGACAGCTACGTTAACATATAAACAGAAAACCTTGACTAAAAGATGACGCTCGTGTTCTTCAGTGGGACAGTGTGGGAACCAGGTTGGATGCAGGTTTTGGGACCTGGCTTTGCGTGAACACGCTCATGTCAACAAAGTAAGTTCAAATATTAACAGACACTATTTTAAGTCACACTACAAACAACACAACAAAGCAGCCTCGGGTCATACCTTGTTGCGGAAAAACAGCTGCCCAACACTGTCAGTACTATACAGTAGCCAACCACGAGAATACATGGTTGATAGAAAGATAAGTAAACATAGAGGAGAAAGTTAGGAGAGAGCTGTCCTGCAAATATTCAAACCTAGTACATGTGCAGTCATCCTCATTTAATTTTTTGGTAAATTTGAATAAAAAAAAGAAAGGAGTCATAACGGGTTATTAGTCAAATATGAATGCAAAATAACAATACATCACTTTGCCTTAACTACTGTTAAGGCAAAGTACTGTAGTAAGCCCCTGCTGCATCTCTCCCACCGTCTGGGGGTCCTTGGTTTGAAAAAAGATAGAGACTGCAGTTTTAAATAGTAGAACCCTAATGATCTTAATACGTGAGAACCTCCACCAATGTCCATGTCCAGTATTTCGTTGACCTAACTGTCATCTCTGGTTTCCTGGCAGGGCATGTTGTAAAACTCTGTAAATGATTAAAATACACCGTTGTTCACTTCACAGTATTGTAAAAGACATTGTAATTTTTTATTAATCATTAATCAAACATTTGTTACCTGATATGTGTAGATGTGAAGTTTTTGAGGGTTTTTGTTTGGGTGTATATATGTTTAATATGATTATAATGTGTCATAATTTAAATACAATAACATTTGTTATGGCTTTTAGAGTGCTTTTAATTTGTGTTTAAAAGTTAGCTTTACATTGAGCATTACATTGATATCCAAGTACCGGATGTTTAGATGTAAAGAAGTTGTTTTTTTGTTTTTTGTTTTTGTTTACACATCTGATCATAGACATCCCTCTAGTTTGCCAACATAAAGTTAGAGTGATTTCTTTGAGATGAAATAAAATTATATTACTGCAGTAATATCATTCCTTTGGAATAACCTTATGAATATCAACAGAACATTATTGAGAGACACTATCACATTTGCTCCCTGTAAAAATATAAAACAAAACAACAAAAAATCCCTCAGGTGGACACAGTTTATTGTCTTCTCACATACAAGCACACACTACTGTATAAATAGTTCAGTATATATCCAGTGTCCAGTCTTTTGGCTCAATACCAAGTTCTATGATTTTGTCTCTTTTTCAGACAGGAGTGTATGATGAAGCTCTCAGTAGCTTCTTCAGGAATGTGGACTCCAGGTAATCACGCCTGCTTTGTACTTTTACTCCTCATTCACGTTTCTGTCTTTAATTGCAGTATTTGTGTACTTCTTTAGGAAAGCTGATAGTGGAGCCTGTGCTGTAGGAGGGAGAATCCAACATCTTAAGGCCAGAGTAAGTTATTTAAACACAAACCCTCACAAAGATATCGTACATAGACGTTCTAACAAATAAAACATAAAAATTAGTCCAGTTATAAACTTTGTTATTGAGATGGCTGTAGATTAAAGTGGCCACATATTGACATTTCTAAATCCCCAGGCTGTGCTTGTGGACATGGAGGAGGGTGTGGTCAACGAGATCCTCCAGGGTCCACTGAGGGAGGTGTTTGACAGCACGCAGCTCCTCACAGACGTGTCGGGTTCAGGCAACAACTGGTGAGAGACAGACTGTGACTGGAGTGAACAGTATGCTGCCCACAGTACTGCTGATCACATGACCAGGGGCAACTGGTCCACACATCTAACATATGGGTTCAACATTCCTTTTGACTGACCCATTGACTTTTCTCTCTGTAAAGCTGTAGGTTCATTTCATGAGGTTTTATCAGCCTGGAAATACAGACATTATTTGTGACAGGCTTAATTTATCTCTTTTATCTTTTGTGCATTTTTTGTATTGACATGCAACTACATTTTGCCTTATTTTTTACCTACAAAATCTCAAAATCAAAGCAAATTCCAGACTTGTTATGTTTTTTTGGCAATTTGGACATTGGCCTGAATTTTGGTTGATTCAGATTCCAAACAGTTTATTTATTTTTTTATTTTTACAAGTAATACAGAGTAGTAGGATCAGCAAAAAAAGACAATGTTTCTGTTTCTCTTTTCAAGGAGCAACAGTTAATGTCAACATTACGAATATCAATAAAAATAGAACGAGTTCAGTGAAGACTTCAGGAAAGAAAGAAACCATATGAGAAAGAAACTTTTGCTGTGAAACTGTTAACAGTTTTAACAGAAAGACCTTGAAGAAAATGAAGTACCAAGGAGTATTCCAACAAAACAAATTGCTTCTTTGAAAATATTTACTTTCTTTTACTCATGAGCAAATATAAGGAAAGTGAACTACTTGTCATTGTGACAAAGCACACAATGAAATGTGCTTTTAATCTATCATCAAAGTGAGTAGGGAGTGAGGTGCCATGCCCAGAGCGCCTCAGTGGTAACTTGGCAGCTGGTGGATTTGAACTTGAAGCCTTCACTATGTCAGAAGAAGTGACCCTTTAGAAAACCTTTGCAGCTCATGAGGAGCAAACATGGGCCAATGAACAGTAAAATTCAGCCCAGCAGCACTCATCATTTAAAAAAGTCAATTTCTTCTATTGTTACTACTAAAAGTATACAGTACAAAACCAGTAACCAATTATATGCTATATATTACAGACTTGTGCCAATAATTCAGTTGTTTATTCAATTCCTGACACAGATATACTGAGATCCTGTTTTCCACAACTGTAAACAGAACCTCAGTCAAACTGCCTGATGTTCTTGGTCTTTGTCCAGGGCAGTTGGTCACATGACTTACGGCTCAGCCTACAGGGAGCAGATTGTGGACAAACTTCGAAAGGCGGCAGAGCACTGTGACTGTCTGCAGTGCTTTTTCCTCATTCACTCAATGGGAGGAGGTAATGGACAAAATCTTAGTTCAAATGTTTTTCATTCTATAGATTTGTATCCATTGTTCTGTACAGAAAAACATCTCCACATATATAACCACATTATACAAACATGGTGAAAAGTTAGCTGAGAAGAATCAGTGGTGTAAGCTGACATAGTTGACAATAGTTGACTCTAACTTCCCTGTTTGAATCTAAGGCACTGGTTCTGGTTTGGGTACCAGAGTGCTGAGCCTGTTAGAGGAGGAGTTCCCAGATGTTTGTCGAATCGTCACTTCAGTCTATCCATCTGCAGAGGACGATGTCATCACCTCACCTTACAACAGTGTCCTGGCCATGAATGAGCTCACAGAATACGCCAACTGTGTTATTCCTGTGGAAAACCAGGTGTTGTCCCGCTGACATAAACATAATCAGTGTATATTTTAAACCATCAGTGGTTATTGTCTCTTCTGTCTCCCCCTACAGTCATTGGTTGACATTGTAAACAAGATCAAACACATGTCTGATGGTGGAATGGCAGGGCCAGTAATCAAAAAAGACAGCACGATCATCTCTGGACGCGGCGGGACCAGTGGCATGGAGAAACCATTTGATGCTATGAATAACATTGTTGCTAACTTGCTGCTCAACATAACCAGGTGGATTGTGGGATGGTTGACTTTCAACGTGTCACATGGGCCTTTTTAAGCTTCTCCATCTGAAATCTCCTCTGTTTTGTCTCCTGCGTTAGTTCAGCGCGCTTTGAAGGTTCTCTCAACATGGATCTAAACGAGATTGCCATGAACCTGGTGCCTTTCCCTCGGTTACATTACCTGATGCCCAGCCTCACTCCACTCTACACACTGGCAGATGTTAATGTTCCAACCAGAAGGTGGGCTTTGCTTGTTAGTCCAGAATAGTCTTCACAAGCCGGTTAAATAAAATCAAAATGTGGCTGTGCATTTTTAAAAAAGTATATAATACAGTCAGAGGGAGTCTTTAATTCTCAGACTGTTTCGAGGAAGTGAGTTGTTTTGATGCTGTCCATTTAAAGCACTAAAGCAATATTTAAATTTATTTTTATGGCTTTCAAAATGAATGCATTTGTCCTATTCAGGAAAGTCTATCGGGTTTTTATCCTGATGATTAATGCTTAATTAAAATCATGTTGCATTGTGTCAACTCTCACTGCCCTCCAGACTGGACCAGATGTTCAGCGATGCCTTCAGTAAAGACCATCAGTTAATCAGAGCTGACCCCAAACACAGCCTCTACCTGGCCTGTGCCCTCATTGTGAGGGGCAATGTGCAAGTGTCTGACCTTCGCAGGAACATTGAAAGGTCAGATTTCAGTTTTTCTCCTTGGATATTTTCCTATCTGTGTTTAGTGCACCAAAAACTACTTTGTTTCACTTCTGTTTTGATCAAATACTACAGTTACCACTAAAACCATATTCTCTCACTTCTGTCTTCTAGACTCAGGCCATCACTTCCCTTTGTCTCCTGGAACCAAGAAGGCTGGAAGACAGGTCTGTGTTCAGTTCCTCCTGTGGGTCACTCACACTCTTTGTTGGCTCTGGCCAACAACACCTGCGTCAAGTCCAGATTCATTGATCTGAGAGAACGTTTCACCAGGCTCTACAGGAAGAAGGTGCTTTTCACAAATCTAAAATACCTAAGAGCTTTTACCTGAGATTGTATTTAAACTGTGTGGGTCTCAACTCTCCCGTCTTATGTTTTGTGAAGGCACATCTACATCACTACCTTGATGTAGAAGGCATGGAGCAGAGCTTCTTTTCAGAGGCCGTCACCTCTCTCTCCTCACTGATTGAAGAGTATAATCAACTGGATGCCACTAAAAACAAAGTCATTCATGATGCCCCCAGACTGAGCATCGCTACATGAAGAAACTCATTTATTTAAAATGGAAAAGACTTTTCAAAGATCTTTTGTACTTTCATAGTTTTCCATATTTATTGTCTTTGTTGTTTATTTTATATTTTTACCTGAATAAATATTTTCTACTGTGTGTTATAGCTGGGTTTGTGTGTTATAAGTGCGTAGTATTCAATTGCATGTTTAACTTGTCTCAGTCTTGCATTTTTAAATAATCAATGGATTAACCCATAATGAGAGAAACTAAACTTAATAACATATCCATAGTTTTGGCTTGTTTTTCAGTGCTTCTACTCTTCTCACTACTGCTGATGACCTCTTCTTTATTTTTTCTCTATGAAACTAATAGTGTCGGTTTATAGCTGTAATAATAAGATTAAAACTGAAGTTGTAAAAATTATGGACTGTCATAGTAATATAGCACTACCACGATGCCACCTGCTGTTCAAGCCTGGTAAAGTATAAACCTACCATAAATGTCACCTTTTATATCGTTAAATTGTTTTAAAAAACGTATTCCGTTTGAAAATTCTACAGTCCTATTTTTAAATGTTAACACCAACATTTGGTACCTTATTCTAAACGTCTTCTCATTAATTTGGGACTACCGGTGCAGCAGGGGCGGTAGAGAGTTTGTTCTTGGGGTTTCCCCCCCTACTGAAGACCGCGTGACCAGTATTTACGGAAGTGCTATTTTGTCTGCTGGTGTCGTGATGTGTAGTTGGTCACTTAATGTGTTTATTGTATAGAATTGTACCATCAGCAGGTTAAATTACGTATTTTGTTGTGTCTCTGTAAACCATGAACAGTAGACGGAAACAGAATCTACCTTCCAGCTGATAATTTAGCATTATAACCACAGAGAGGCTAACGTCACTGTCAGCTGTTCTCCTGCCAACATGCTTCCTCTGCTGTTAAGTCGGATTCGGAGGATGTTCGTGTGACTCTCCACACATAGTTTATTATCGAATTGTTTCCGAAAACATCGACTGTTTTCAGCAAATTTTTCGAAAACACCGAATAAAGCTAGCGACTAGCTTAAAAACCATGGGAGCTGAACAGAGTGGCGAATCGGAGCACAAACACTCCGACTACAGCTCCTCAGGTAAGGCGGTTTGTCAACATTTGACATAATGTGTAATATGGAGGGTTTATTTCTGCATATGTTTACTAGTCAGCCCGCTTTGTCAAGTGCCTTTAAGTTATTTGTAATTACACAATTCAACCACAAGTCACTGCACGTCTCTACTTCTCTGTGTATATGCTTTTATTTGGTTAAAAATGCATTTTTGAAACCAAGATAAAAATATTTAATGTGTGTTAGGGCGGGGGCGGTGTTCATGACTCTACATTAACATTACCATTAATTGCAGTGGTTCCATCGCCAGCAAAGCAAAAGGCAAAGATGGATGATATTGTGGTTGTGGCCCAGGGAACACAGTCACTGAGAAATATCCACAATGATCCCGACGTCATCAAGCTTCAGGAAATACCAACCTTCCAGCCTCTTTTAAAAGGTAATGTGAATATACAGTATTTACAGTTACAGTTAGCTACTTTGAATGAACTAGGAATTATGCTGTTATCCTATGTGTGTGATTTTGTATCTTTGTTGTGTAAAATGCCTTAAAAGGACATGCATTTTTAAAGTGGAACAAGCCTTGTTGCCCTACAGGATACTAAGATTGTGTTATGCATGTTTTTTATATTTAAGTTTAGCTTTTTTAGTCTTTAAACCTATTCTTTGTCCATGTCCATGGGTGGTTATTGTTATTAGGTGCTGAATTAATGTCCTCTGCAAAGGAAAAAAACCCTCATGAAATTCCTCAGTATATGTATGTTGTACATGTGTACTATATTTACAATATATAATATGAAGCTTCCTTCTCTGGCCTTGGTTTCAGATGACTCTGCTGACTCTTCTCATTTCCACCAGTTCCCAACTTGGTCATTTTATAGTTCCTCCTTGCTGCAGCTCATTAGCGCTGTGTTAGCAAATGGAAAATGATCCCAGTTTGTTTTGTAGGCGTACTCCCTAAATAGCTTGGAGAGTTAGAGTGTTTCTCTCAGGTCCTGCCTGCAGCTAATTGCGATAACTAAGCAGTGCTTTGCTTTTTGTCAAGTGTTACTGTATTTGAACATGAC